GATTTGATCTTTAACAACCTTAACTTAAAAAAAAAAAAGAAAAAAAGGAAACTTTTGGACCATCTAATGGAATATATTAATAGCATTTCAAAAGTAACTCACCTATAATAGTTAGTATTTTAAAAAAAATTGTATAATCTTTATTCTTTTCTCATTTTAATTTAGTCAAATTTGAAAAGATGTATTAATAATTTTTTCATGTGTACATCGATAAGTTTCATAAAAAAAAAAAAAAAAGATAGAAAGACAAAATGGCCATTTTATATTTATTATAAAAAAAACATGGGCTTAGCTCAACAATGGGCATAAATTTTGGTTCATTTTAGTCAATTGGGCTATGTAAATGAATTTTTTTGGCCGAGGTTTTTATTATAAATCTGAATACTGTCGTTAACGTTTCTGAATATCTGCTTTGTTGGTAGGAGTCGGATTGGATAGGATTATTGAAATTATTGTGGCGAAAAACGCTAGAAGGAGGGCTTGAACCTCCGACCTTGTGGTTAACAGCCACACGCTCTAACCAACTGAGCTATTCCAGCTTGTTGTTTTTATCTTTAATATTTAATAATAATTACATAACGTGAGCATTCATTTTAAGTTCATCATCACATGGAAGGATAAAGGTGTAGAGGTATAGTTAAAAAACATGAATGCCCTTGAAAATCTTAAAATTAATAAATCTCAAAACTTTCTTATTTTTTCCCTTTATATAACACAATTTCAAGAAATTTACAGAAATATTCAAATTCAACTCTCTTATTAACTAAAACTAATAAATGATTACCATTGTCATGCTATTTGTAACTTTCCATTCTCGATCAATGCACAAGAGAAAGAAGGTCGTAATTACCATCGTCATATTATTCTTCATCAAGGCAGGTTAAAAATTCTATAGGATTGGAAATGAATTCACAACAAATTATTAAAGAGCTTAATTTACATTTTGGGACTCTTTGGTTTTTTTTTTTATTATTATTTTTGGTTAAGTTGTATTTTTATTTCACCAAGGAAGCAGAGTTATGCTACAAAGTAACTATCCAATTGTCTATACAATTAACTAACAGCCTATTCTAGCATAGCCACATTTAGGTTCCAAGCATCGCATAACTCTTTATTGACTGACTCTATCTGCAGCAATATGACTCAGCCCTTGCAACCGTATTCGAACATCATCTTTAATTCGATTTTGCAGCTGTGTTGTTGTCTCTTCTTTTTGCTTGAATATTCTAGAGTTCTTTTCCCTCCACATGTGATACATGCAGGCATTCTATGCTAATCTCAAAATGATGGATATCAATGCTTTCCATTTCAATCTATTTGTTGCCCAGTTTAATTTTAAATCCCAATTCTTCACTACTCTGTGAATTCTGCATGATTGAAGCAGTCGTTGCCAGACTTCCTTTGAGTATGCACAACCAAAGAACGTATGATACCTTTTCTACTTCAGTCTTGCATAACCCGCACCTGTCATTAGTTTCCATTCCCGAAGCTTTTGGCCTATCTTTGGTTGGTAGTCGATTCAGCATAGCCATCCGAGAGATTAATGAGTGTTTAGGAATATGGTGTGTGAACCTTTTTAGCCTGTGCCATCTGACCTTTTCTTGCTTAGGCCTAAGGGTCTTCCACACAATAATAGCAGAATAGTTATTATTTGGAAAAGCCAAACTTCTACTCCATTTTCCAACTTAATAAACAGCCAAGCAATTTGCCTTAGTTGCAACAACTTCTTCCAACTCTAGCTGCTGTTTAGTTGAATTGGAACTTGCCAGACACTCCTTCATTTTAGAACATAAGCTTCAAGCCATGCAATCCATAATGATCCAACTTTTATGAAAATGGACCTTATGTTCTTCGAGAGGCAGGCTTAATTACAGGACATTAAATCTTTGAGTTCTAGTCCTTCTTTTGACTTAGGACAACAAATCGCTTTCTAAATAACTCTGGCTCCCTTTGCTGTTCCTGTTTTCCCTTTCCAGAAAAAAGACTGAGCAAAGTTGGTTAACCTTCTCTAGCACGTGCTTGGGCAAGGTGAAATGTCTACACCAATAATTGTGCAAATTGAAAATTACGGACTGTATGAGCTGCACTTTGCCAACATATGAAAGTTGTTTTTGCAGCCATCCGGCCTCTTTGGTTTTATTTTATATGTTAAGATTGAATTAGACTTGGTCAAAGGTCAAACTACTTGTCCAAGTCAACAGGTTTGTCCAATTTTTGGAAGGGTTTGATTTGAATAAAAATATAAACTCAAAAAATGCATTTGGACAAAAAAAACAAGATCTGTTTTGGGTTTAATTTGGCTTCATGATCGTGCCTGGTCCGATCCTACCTCTTTCAATTTTTTTCATATATATTATTTTTTATATTTTTATATAATTTATTTATATCACATAAAGGTTAAATATATAATATTGTATTATAAATATTAAAAATATTATTAAATTATTGATATTTTAGAACTTAATTTAGAAAAGGTAGAATTATTAAAGTTTAACTAAAAATAATATATTTTAATTTTAAAAAATTTAACAAAAATGGGTTTGGGTAGAATTTGATATCGAAATTATTGAATCAGGCTGATTTAAGCTATATGTATAGTTTTGATATGAGCACATGGTAAAGAATCATGCATGGTGATTTTGTAACCATTTAAATTAAAGTTTCGTCAAATTAAAATGCGAATTTAATCTAATTTTATATTATTTTTTTTATTTATACATGGGTTGATTGATTTGTTTCATTGGTTTCTTTTTCTTGGATGTCATAACTATATTATTTATGTATGTTGAAAATTGTTCAGTTATAATTATGGTTTTTGTTGTACTCATAATTTCAATCAAAAAGTTTATTAAAAGTATGATCGTTTCCGTTGAATTAGTTTGGCTGGTGATTGAGAAAATGCCAATTAAGACAACTGTGATAAAGTTTGAACCCTTTCTATCCATATACAAGCTTTACATTGAGTTTGGATATTGCAAGAATTGGAAAAAAAGAGAATTGAAACATAGAAAATTTATTAAAGTTTTCTTATGAATACCAAATTGAGGAGTTAAAAGAGGATAGAATTGTCACTTGAAAATTTTCTTTAGGCCCACTTTTCCACTTTTCTTTTTTCTTATTTTTTTATTTAATAAAGATGACCCGAATTTGAAATAAAAAAAATTACAAATATTAAATTTAAATTCGAAATCAATTAAATATTATCTTTTATTAGATTACATGAATCAATTAAATTAAATATCAAATTTTAACCTTATTTTATGTCTAATTTCATTTCAAATCACTTCTTTTCATTTTCCTTTGATTATTTCCTTCCTCTTTGTCTTCTTTCTTGTCAATCAAAATAGACATGGATAAATATCAATAGCAATAGGCAAAATAACATAGTGATGAAGCAAGGGAAAAGGGAAAAAAATCAATGTAAATTTTTAAAGCTGTAAGCCAAAACATCTGCATTCCACCTCCCACGGCATGGATAAGAGCCTTGACTGTGCTTTTAGGCTTCTTTTTCTGAGCAATGTTACTGTCATTGGGCATGTTTTCCCATTACAAGAGTGACCATAATTGTCCATAGATGGGTCTCAAAGCTGTGTTCCTGTCAATCTTGGGACCATTGACTAAACTGCCTTTATAACCTTTATTCAAATTACATGACAATTAAGCAGTTTTTCATTAAGCTTTGTGGAAAAATGTAACAAGAAAAAGTTTGGCATGAAATCTGGCATGATTAAGACTTACTTTTGAATTCAATTTTTCTATGAGGCCTAGAAACAATGGTACTTTAATCTTATGAGATCTACCTAGAATTTACATTAACGGTATAAAAGGTTTTTTTTTTTTTTTACTAATAAAAGTTTATCTTTTTTAATATGAGAAAATATAATTCTTATCGCGTGAATTTATTTCGAAATCTTTAAATTAAAATCTTAAATTCTAATTGCTAAAGTGCCTGTTTTAACGGAGAAAAGCTATAAGCATGCAATTGAAGCAAAAGTGCAGGAATTCTATTAACAAATGACCAAGAAATAATGCAATTGAAGCAACTTGAAGTGGCACATTGTGATTGGGATCCAATAGCCAGCCAGAATCAAATGTGCCCAATAGAAGAATATGTCACCACCAAAGCAATTGCCAAAAAAAGTCATTATATAGTCTTATGCCACATTCCAATAGCAATGAATCCCACCAAAGGTATTGCAAAAGGCACAAAAAGGCAAAAGGCAAAGCTCAAAAGGAAAACCAAAAAAAGTGCTGAAAAGGTGGGAGAAGGCCAAATATTTTCCATAGTGACCAAAGCACATTGGCCAGTGAACGGTAGAGAAAAATGGGTAGTAAAATTTTGGGTGATGGGATATTGGAAGAGAGTGGGTGACAGACCCATGTGAGTGACCCACCACCACCACTATCACCACCCCTTTCTAATAGGCCAGTGGATTTCTTGGTTGGCTTCATATCAACGCTAACAGCCAAAATAACCCAACCACAGCAATAAAACCAACATACCCACAAATCAGATAACACCACCACCATCCCCTCTAAATAAAGTGAAGGAAAAAAAAAGTTAAGAGGTTACTATCATTAACTCATTTGACAAAGCTACCACTTTTCTTGGTTGCCCACTAACCTTAAGCCACACCTTCGATTTTAAATACATAAATGATAAAGTTACACGATACTAAAATAATAAAAAATATAAAAATAAAATAATTTAAATTTAAATTAAAAAAAAATATTTTAAAAAATAAGATATGTGTTATCATTTTAATTTCATATGTAAAATTAAATTTCATATATCAAATAATTTCTCTTAAAATTTTAACAAAAATTATATATAAATTTTAAAAAAATAAAAATATATATTTATGCTTAATGTATGAATACGAATTATGATATAATAATTTTTTTATTTTATAAATGTTAAAATCTAAATAGTCAAATAGGAATACACAAATATACACATCAATCCTAAAGTATCTACTTTCCTTGCCCTATTCCCTCCCCTCTCTCTAATGCTAGTGGCTCTCCTTCTCAACTCTCCCTTTGGTTTGCCACTAGTCCCCCATTTTTTTCCCTTTCTCTCTAATGCTAGTGGTTCTCTCATTGCTCTCTTTTCTATCCTCCACCAAGTCCTTTTTTTGAGCTTAAACGTCTTTGATGGTCTGAATACATGTTAACAGCTAAACAAGAGTAAAAGTTTCTTTTTTGTTTAGTATATGGAGAGATGGACAAAGAAACAAACCAAGAAAACCCATCTCTCCTCTCAAATAATAACATCACCAAAGAAGACTGTTCCCCTAAAAAACATCCTGGGAACACTGCTGTCATTGGTGGTGGTGTCGGCGGCGGAGGAGGCGGCAACGATAGGCTAAAACGTGATGAATGGAGTGAAGGAGCTGTTTCAAGCTTACTTGAGGCTTACGAAAACAAATGGGTTCTTAGAAATAGAGCCAAACTTAAGGGTCATGACTGGGAAGATGTTGCACGTTATGTTTCAGCTCGTGCTAATTGTACCAAGTCGCCAAAGACTCAAACTCAGTGCAAAAACAAGATTGAGTCAATGAAGAAAAGGTATCGATCAGAGTCTGCTACTGCTGATGGATCATCTTGGCCTTTGTATCCACGGCTTGACCTTTTACTACGTGGCAGTGCACCTCCTCCTCCACCACCACAGCTGCACCCATTAACCGTGCCTCAACCACCTGCTTCACTTCCCACTAACCCTCCTTTGACTTTACCAGAGCCGTCCATGGTGGTGATGCTGCAGCAACAACAACCACCACCACCACCTTTGGCTTCTCAGGTTCCTGGAACTGCACAAAATTCACATGGTTCCAATGGTGTTGATAGGATTCTCAAGGTCAGTACGAATTTTACATATGCTTTTGAAGTGGCACTATGACTCGAACTTAAGATTTTATCCCAACTTTATCTTCAGATTAAAATTTTGAACCTCCAAAGTCTCTAATAAAATCAAATCATTTACATGTTAATATTATTTTTTTAAAAATTCATGAAGCTAATAAAAAAATTAGAAGAGTGTATAATACTGCTAGAAGGGAAGGTGATTTGAGCTGAAATTTACCCTGGCTTAATTCTTATGATGTAAAAATATTCTAAGTTACATATCCTTTTATACCGTAACCCAATCCTATTTCCAGAAAAGTAATTGCTAGTCAAAAACAGAAAGGTAAGTCTCCATATTTTGATAGTACACCTATGATTTTAACTCCATTTTTGAGCAGTGGCATCTTTTACAAAGCAATAAAAAAACATTGCAGACAACGTACAAAGTTGTTCTTTTTACATACCATTTTAACAGGTTTCATGATTAACTCTTATATACAGTAGTAAAACATTTAGTTCAATGATTTTGCAGGTAATGTAAGTAAGGGTTAAAATCTTCCTGATTAGAACCCAAATTTAATTCAATAAGTTTATAAGACCATCCAACAGATCTGTGATTCATCAAATCCTAACACCTGCAATCTCTTTTTCTATTCTCGCTCTACTACTTATTTTGTACCATATAATCTCTCTTATTAAAAAAATAATAAAGTAACCACTCTTTCAATTTAACAGGAGGATGGAGCAGGAACAAAACTATCCGACCATTTATCGGACAAGATTGCTATGGAGACGGATAGTAGCACACCAGCTCTTTACAGTGACAAGCAAAAACTTGGATCGAAGAAATTGAAGATGAAAATGGAGAAGAAGAAGAGAAGAAAAAAGGAGGAATGGGAAATAGGTGAGAGCATTCGATGGCTAGCAGAAGTAGTTTTAAAGTCAGAACAAGCAAGGATGGAAACAATGAGGGAAATTGAAAAAATGAGAGCTGAAGCTGAAGCAAAAAGAGGAGAAATGGACCTGAAAAGAGCTGAGATCATTGCCAACACACAATTGGAAATTGCTAGGCTCTTTGCAGGGTCAAGTAAAGGAGTTGATTCTTCATTAAGGATTGGAAGAAATTGATGATAACGATGATTAGTGAAAATCTAATTAATTATATTTATGTATGTATAGATTTTGTGTATTGACAATGAACAAGGGGAGATGAAAAATTAAGGGTTGAAGAGGGAAGAATGATATTTAACTTGTAATAGGCTAATTAATTAATTAGATAAAGAAAATGGGGTAGGTAAACAGAAATTTCTACCTCATTTAATAGCTTCCCTCTTAGAGAAAGGTTTAGTATTTCTGAAAAAAGAATTAACCTGCGTCATATTAAATTGATATATATATAGTTCAAGAATTTATTAAGCAAATTAATTAATGGTTCATTTGGTAATATGATGGGAAAAACTTTGTGATGTTATTTTATGATTGAAGTCTTAAAAGTTAATCATAAAGTGCAATTGTGGCATAGATAAAGTCCCTCCTATCACTACAAGGGTTTTGGTCTTTAGTAGCATTTTCTTTTCTAAGATTTAGCGGTGTTTATAAATGCCATTAAAATATTTATGGCATTTGACAAAAACGTCACTAAGAGCGTCAGCTATATATGCGTCGAAGAAATTAGCAGCATTTTATACGAAACACAGCTAATTTAATGGCATTTGTAAGCACAATCACAGTTAATTTAATAATGTTTGTATTAGAAAAACGTCGTTAATTTAAAGGTATTTGTATCATAAAATGCGACTAAATTAGAAGCGTTTGTATATACAAATACTGCTAATTTACTAGTGTTTATATAGAAAAACGCTGCTAATTTAGCGATGTTTGTATAGGAAAATACTGCTAAATTTAGTAGCGTTTTATGCCACAAATGCTACTAAATATCAAATTTAGCGACTTTTTTGAACACAAATATCACGAAATTAAAAAATTTATTTTTTTAATTTATTTTTATATTTATTATTATCGTTAAATAAAAATGTTAAAAGAAATAAAAACAAACTTAATTTCATAAACTGAATATTATAAATACATAATTTGTTCAAATATGCATGTAATACAAAGTTTAATAATACATGTAATAACATTAAAATTATTTTAGTACATTAGCCAAAAAATTTAAAATGTATGAAATTGATAACTGCATAGATATGGAATACTGTTATTTGTGAAGGATTTTTTCCACCTTGGTCACTAGCGTGCTTAAGAACCTACTGAATAATATCATATAAGTTTTAACACTTAAATAATAAGCTACTTCTTATATTAAAAAATATAAATAGTTACTAAATATAATTCCTAAGTTGATTGACTACCTAAATTAGTTTCTGAAAATTGTTGTTGCATAAAATTCATAAGAGTATCAAATCGATCAAGCAATTACTGAAATTTTGCATTCTCTTGGTCCATTCTAGCATGTTCTTCTTCAATTTTAGCACGCTCATGTTCTCTTTCTACTTCTATTTGCTGGAAACGTTATTGCATAGTTTGCAATTCCTCTTTCAATATGAAAATGTCTCGCGAAGACTAACTTACTGAGAATGTAAATTGTTGAAAGCTACATTCATAGTAGGTAGATAGTGTTGGACCTAATCCAAGGCCTCAAACCCGTCCATGTTTTTCTTTTCTAGCAACTTCTGTGAAAATCTGATTTTTCAATTCTTGCATGTTGACAGAATCATCAGATACTACTTCAATCTCAGCAGTCATTTTCTCTTTCGCTTTCTCATGTAAATTAATCAAATAAAACTATCAAGTTTAATGATTAATTCATAATATGTTTAAAATAGTAAATATTTAGTTTTTGTATAAAACATATGTAACAAATTACCACAATTTGTTGTATTTCAACATTCATGTAAGATTCATCATTTTTTGTATGAGTTAATAGAAAAAGTTTCACATGTCCAATTTTTTCACCCCTCACATTTCCTATATAAAAACATATGTTATTGTTAAATACATATCAACCACAACTTATTCATGCATATCAAGCTTGTCAATCAAGTTCAAAAATTTGCATAAGTTTAATATCATGTATTTAATCTATCTAAATTGTTAAAATAGAAATATAACCATAAAATTATATTTTTTCCCTTTAACAGCATAAAAGTTTTAAACAAACGTAAACAATAAAAGCATTTAGGCCTTTCACACAAATCAATCATGGAAACTAAGTTCAATTATTCGAAAAAATGAAATATCATGTATTGAAGCCATCCAAACTGTTAAAATAGATTAATAATAGCAAATTTGTATTTTTGCCTATTAACGACAAAAATAGTCTTAAATAGATGTAAACGATAACTTTTTCACACATATCAATCGTAGAAACCAAGTTCAATCATTCGAACAAGTAATATCATGTATTGAAGCTATCTAAATTGTTATAATAGAACAATAACATCAAATTTGCATTTTGCCTTTTTTACAGCATAAAATGTCCTAAACAGATGTAAACGTTAGCTTTTTTACACATATCAACTGTGGAAACCAAGTTCAATTATTACGACAAGTTTAATATCATGTATTAAAGCTATGCAAACTGTTAAAATAGCACAATAATAACAAATTTGCATGTTTGCCTCTTAACAGCATAAAAAGTCTTAAACAGACGTAAATGATAACTTTTTCACATATATCAACTATGAAAATCAAGTTCAATCATTCGAACAAATTTAATATCAAGTATTGGAGCTATTCAAACTGTTAAAATAGAACAATTTGTCCAAATTTTTATTTTTACTTATTAATGACACAAAATGTCTTAAATAAACATAAATAATAACTTTTTCATGCATATCAACCATGGAAACTATCAAAACTATTAAAACAGAACAATAACTATAAATTTGCATTATTACCTTGTAATGGCAGAAAAAGTTGTAAACAGACATAAATTGTAAATTATGACACATATATCAATAATGGAAACCAAGTTCATTTATTCGGATAAGTTTAATATTATAAACTTACTATTTCTTTTTGCTTTCTTGCTAAACTTTTTAATCCACTTATGTGGCTATATTTCTGTTGCTTTCTGCTACCAATCCTAATTTGTTCTCTTTCCTGTCATAAAAAATAATTATGTATGTCATAACGTCTAAATCCGGGGATCTATCGCTAGACATTGACTTTTGGGAGTCGCCACCAATCTTTTTTATCTAGGTGTGATTGGCCACCTAAGGAATCTGTCCTTTCAGGGAACACCTAAGTTTAAGGGTCCTTAAAAGAATAGGTTCAGGTCTGCTAACCAGAACAGAGTTCGGGAGTTCGGTTACGTGTGAGGAAGGTTATAGCACCCTCACAATGCCTATCAAAAGATGGTACCAGCTTAAATTTGTGTTATCCAAAAGCCTTAAAATTTTACCAAGTAATTAATTATTGGAAATTTTTCTCAATTGACTCTAATACTTTTAGCAGAAAATTGAGAAAATTTCCTCACCTCAAGAGTATGCAAGAAAAACTACTGTTTCACTTGCAGAGGCTCCGTCGTCGGATTAGTCAAAGAAAAATCAAAATAAAAAATAAAAATAGAAAGGAATTAAAGAATGATTTTTTTTTTGTGTAGGGAAAATTGATACTTTCAACTTTTCCTTAAAAATCCATTTTTGAAATTTTATTTCTAAGGAAAATTGATACTTTCAACTTTTCCCCAAAAAAACCTTTTTTGAAATTATATTTTTAAGAAAAATTGATACTTTCAACTTTTTTCTAAAAATATTTTTGGAAATTTTGATTTTTAAGGAAAATTGATACTTTCAACTTTTCCTCAAAAATCTTTTTTTGAAATTTTATTTTTAAGGAAAATTGATACTTTCAACTTTTCCTCAAAAATATTTCTCTTTGAAAATTTTTATTTTTTTGCAAAAAATAAAAATAAAAATAATGCTCCTCAAAATAACTAACACACAAAAAAAAGTAAATAAATAAAATACCAAAAAAAAGATTATCTTGCCTTGAGGAATTGGACGTGGCTCCACTAGATTATCCATAGCCTTCACCAATTTGACACGATCTTTCCTATTTTCCACGAAGGAAATGATGGCTTGAAGTGTTGCTGAACATAACCATATACTCCCATTTGGTTGCCATACATTTGTTACGGATACATAGAAGCCATTTGCTGTGAAAGTATGTCCATATACTGTGCTCCCAGAACTGATTGAGGATGAAAACCAGCAAACCAGTTTCCCTGAACAGCCTTGTTATTAATTGCTGACAAATGACTGGTTGTGATTGGCTGAATGTACATACCCACCATCTGATCACTTCTCATATGTTGAGGTCCTTGAGGTTGGCCATGTGTTACACTAACTTGAGTAACCATTGATTGAGGATATTGAGCACCCGCAACTGGGCTAGAGTCTGGCGCCTGTACTTCCCAGAGTGGTGGTGGTAGCAAGCCACTTCTCTGAGCACCATAGACAGGTGAAGAAGGCTGCTGTTGTAGAACCAATTGACCATTCCAGGCAGGACCTGTGCCTTGAGCATATGATCGCTCAAATCGAGGCAATCCCGTGTTTGGTGCAGCTCCAGTCGCATGAAAATTCTGCTGCTACTGAGTAGGCTGTCGTTTCTGGTCTGTAAAATTCCCATCAACAACCTTCATTCCCACAAATATACACCAATCGGTTCTTCCAGAAATCAACGAAGCTCCAACATTGTCACCTCTGCATGCCGCTACAGTCGCCCACCGTTGATGCTGAAAATTCACCGTGAACCTCCCTTCGACCTACTCATCTCTTATTTATGGTCGGTTTCTCACCAACCATCCTCCAACAGCGTAGATCCAGAAAGGAATCTGTGAACTTTCTTCACTGTTGCTGCTTCTTAGTTTCCTGTAATTTTCTGCACAAGAGTGATCAGCAATGCAAGAGAAGGAACCAAAAGATGAACCAAACACTATTCACGATTGCGTTCCAGCAATAAATCAGATGCAGAATTTATTCAGTATCCTCGTCAACAAGATATTCAAAGGACGAAGTAAATTGCAAGTCTCCTTTGGACCCTAGGGGTTAGCCGCTAATGTTTGACCAGCAAGCATTCGTGATCTCCTTCGTTGGGTAACTTCGTTTTGGCTCGAGAGGGTGCCTCCAGCACCTCGATCTAACGAGATGCCCCAGGATTTTGATTTTGCGATAGACCATGATCCCGGACGGGATCATCATTCATTGTGGGTGTAATACCTGAGATATACCACTCACTGCTTCTGTAATATTTTACGGACTGCAGGAAGTGAAAATGGTGGAAAAGTCATGTATCACACCCCGAATACCCTCATGATCCTCTTTCCACATACCACTGTCATAAAAACCAATCCCTGACTTGATTATGCCTTCGCCTCTGAACACACGAAGCATGGGAAAGAACTTGTCTTTTTATCACCAGCTTGAAGCCGCTGAACCCAGAGACCTGACATCTCCAGAATTCTTTTTCCTCTTAAGATCTGCTTCAATGATTTCGCCTTTACATGGTCACACACGGCTGTCTAGCTAGCTTCTCCATTCAGCACGCTAACCCGAGGTTCCAAGCGATGTCACATCTGCCGTTGCTCAGAGGGCAGTTAAAGGCACGTCACCATTGACAAATGCGATGTCTTGGTCTATAAACACTTCATGGAAGGGGAGATCGCCCACTAAAGAGAGGCCTTGAGGGCTGGTGGAGATGGGGGCTTTCCCCCCTTTTTTCTTTCTCTCCTATTCGATCCTCCTCTTATTCAGATTCCTCCTCCATCTTTTTTCCGTTTCCTATTCGGATTCTTCTTCTCTCCTATCCTGATTTCTCCTCCATCTTTTTTTTCGTTTTATAAAACCATGCTGTTTTTTATAGAATTTCAGTTCTATTCCACTTAGTCCTCCAATGCTAAAGATTAGCCACCAATCATGCTTTCTAATCATCATCCAACTTAATCTCAATCTTTCTTTCTTTCTTTTTTTTTTTTAAAAAAATAATCAGATAATAAATAAAAAAATGATAAATATGAAATAAAAAAAATCTAAAATAAAAATGAATAAAAATCCCTGCAACTGAGCTTGGATTAGTCTCAATTGACAAATAATCCCGGACAAAATGGGTTGTCTACAATGTATATGGTAGAAATACAAATATTACCAACTTAAATTATAACACACCTTTATGATTAAAACTAATATTAAAAGTTATAAATTAGTACATCTCATTTTCTTGAGAACCAAAATCTAACTAATTGTTCATATTATCACCTAATCACATTATGGGATACATTTTTCATTGTGGCCTCTACAGTAGTATTTCGATCGAAATATTTTTCTTCAAATTATGCTTACAGTCTTTCCATTTCTTTCCCAATAACTTAAGCACAAATAAAGTTGATATTTCAAGTACAAATCTTGACTCTAATAATATAAAAAAAGTTTTAATCAATAAACCAAATTTAAAATAATTAATTTTGTTTATATGTAATTAATTATCCTAATACCTCAATAAAGTTTAAAGCATCGACCTTAACTTTAGCTGGAACTTTATCCATGTTTCGTAATGAATAGACAACTTCATTCCATTACGAGCAATCATGCCTAGAAATCCAACCAACATTTGAGACTCTTCACCAATTGGTTATCTATTAGCATTTGTAGACACTACAATACGCTCGTTTAGAGGTAGTGCAAATAATTCCTTCAAAGTTATCCAGCCTCTGGTCTTCCGTTGACTATTGTTATCAACTACAAAAAAAAAATCAATTTGTAAATTACCAATACTTTAATCATTATAATTGAAATCTAGTTATGGGGTTTATATTACCTGCATTCCAATTAAAAGCAGAATCAATTGATGGGATACTATCTAAACCTGCACCTCCTGTATTGCCAAGTCCAATATCAATTGAAGAGTTAGAAGTAACTGAGTTAGACCCGACAGTACATATGTTCCCCTCCAAAGGATTCAGTCCATATCGAAGATCAATTAGTGCCGCAGACGGTTCTAAACTAATATCTCTTATATTTATTTCTTTCAATCTACTCTTCTGCATTATAGCTTAGCTACATCATAAAAGCGAATATATAAAAACCATATGTAAAGAACATATATTAAGACATTAAGAAGTTAAGAAATCATAACCAATGATACATAAAGAATGTATCAATTTAATTAAATTAAAAGCTAATGTATGACTTACAATATAATAATTGAAATAAAAGTGAATGCGATATAAATTACATACAAGCATTTATTACATTATAATGTAAACACTTAAATTACAAAATATGGATGATCCATCATGGTTCATAAATGTCTTCATTAACATCTTCGCGGACCTACTGAGCAGAGGTATTGAAGATATTTTCATCCGAGTTTTGTTCAACAAAAAAAATATTCAGTTCCATGTTTAACATCATCTTTGGTATCTGACCCCATATCAAATAAGTCTCTAGGTGTGTTTCGAAGAACAACAAACCAACTCAATTCTTTAGGGTCTTCAAAATAAAAAAAAAAACTTGTTTGACTTGAAAGGAAAAAATATAAGGTTCATTAATGAGTTGTTGTTCGGTGTGAATTAATCGAGAAAAATTCATAATTGTAAATCCAAACTGATCTTTTTTAATACCTCTCGCATTATTCACATCAGCCCAATCACACTAAAATAAAACAACTTTTCACCTGCCATAATAATCTAACTCAATGATGTCATTAATCATGTCATAATAGTCAATATTTTTCGTTAAAAGGTTTATGTCCCTAGCACTAGCATAGCTAATAATTGATGAAATAACAACAACTCCTAAATTTTGTGTACTTCTAATCTCTTATGGGATTTAGTGTGAAATCTAAATCCATTGATGATGAAACCTTTGTATCATTTCACAATCTTATTCGGCCATGTGAAAGATACTTCACCTTTTTAGTAACAAGCTTTCCATTCCAAACTTATAATAGTGGAATAAATATATATTTTATTAATTTTATTTATACCTTAGGCATTCTATGTACATTTCTCATAATAGAAAGTATGGCATTACTTACAGTTGCTCTGAACTATTCATGAAAGTTTTTGATGAACAACTTATCAAGCTCTCGAGAATTTGATTGTCAATAATGTACACGAGCTCTTAAATTATTTCTATACTCACTATAAAGCATCATGATAAAGTATTAACAATATGAAAAATAAAATAATCTATGCTTAATGGAATGAATAATTTTCTTGCAAGAAAACTTACGTATGAAACAATTCAATTGAGTCATGATAGAAAAGCACATATCGATGTACTTTTACCCAAAATTTATCATCTAACTCCACCATTTTAGCTTTGCCTATTGGTTGCCCAAAACTTTCAAAAAGATAAATGTAGGCAAAGTCAGTATGCTGTATACCAACATTTCTTGATAGTTTATTAAATCTTATTTCAACATCTTTCAAATAACGAGAACAAATGTCATACACTCTTTTACTAAATATCTTTCAGCAATAGAGCCTTCCAAATAGCGTTTATTGCAACAATAAGACTTTAACCTCCCAAAAAACTTAAGACATAAAACATTTATCATATACTTTTCTAACTAGAGTGATATGATCAACACTAACAACCTAATCAAGCTATTAGCAAATAATACTTTTTGATATGATGCATCCATCGATAATAAACCGATCCATTGACTTTTGCTTCATACAGAAGGTGGATAATTAAATGTATCATAATAGTGAAGAAGTTTGAAGGAAAAATCTTCTCTAAATGGCATAAAGTAATTGCGGCTCGATCTTAAAGTTTGTCAAGCTCTTCCACATTCAAAACTTTCCCACAAAGAGCTTTAAATATGTTACTCAATTCAATTACTACTGAAGTGACTTGCTTTGACATTAATGAATGTAAAGCAAAGGGAAGTAAGTCTTACATCATAATGTGATAATCATGTGACTTCAATGAAGAAATTTTTTGCTCCTTAAGATTCACATATCTTGATATATTTTATGCATAGCCATCCGAAGCTTTCACTTTTTTCAAAACCTTGCAAAATACATCTTTCTCAGCTTTAAAAATCTCAAAACAGGTAGAAGGCAATTGATATTAGCTATTAGAAAGCAACTTCGGATAAAGGTCAAGGTGAATCCCTATATCAACTAGGTCAAGCCAACTTTTTAAGTTATCCTTTGATTTTTATTCACATTGAGAATTGTCTCTACAAAATTTTCGTAAACATTCTTCTTTATGTGTATCACATCAAGGTTATGATGTAATAAATTATATTCCTAATAAGGCAATTCAAAAAATATACTTTTTTCCACAACTCAGACTCATTTGGGTCATCTTCTTCATCTTTCTCCTTATTACTTTGAATATCACGATCACCAACCTGAGTATCATTATCATCAACTTGAGTAATAGAAGGCCAGACACCTTCAAAGATCTCCCTCACTTTTTTTCTTGATTGAGTCATTTTTTTATATGTGAAATTGATATCTTTTAACTTTGATAAGATATTAAACCCACTAATTAGTAAAGGAGATCTCGTCAACTTTCAGTTCCATCAAAGAGATGCTTTTGAAATCTAAATCGATGATTATCATCTATCTATCAATGATGTCCCATATAACTGAACTTTTTACTATTATATAACCACTTTAAACATGTCTGTGCAGCACAATATAGACAAGCATTATGACCTTTTGTGCTCCAACCAGATAAATTTGCATAAGCAAAAAAATTGTTGATAGTCTATAATAAAGTAGCACGTTTATTAAAGTTTTTTTTTTATGCATCATAGGTCTCAACTCTTTCCCATAATTACTTTAACTCTTTAATAAGAAGTTGTAAATAGATGTCTATATCATTACTCGGACCTTTTTTCCTGAGGATTATCATAGATAAAATAAATGACTATTGCTTCATGACAATCCATGGTGGCAAATTGTATGAAATCAATACAACTCGCTAAGTACTATAAAAAATACTCATCATTTTGAATGGGTTGAAATCATCAGACACTAGTCCAAGCATAACATTTTGAAGATCATAAGCAAAGTTTGAAAACCTAGAATAAAATGATTTATATGCCAAAGAATCACTAAGATGCCTCAATGATCCATCATTCGTCCACTTGTTATGATGTCACCTTATAGAATCTGTAATTTTGGAAGGCATTAATAGTCGTTGAAGTCTTGGTATTAATGAAAAATATGTAAAACCTTTATAAGCTTCTTTTTTAGATTGACCTCATCATCATCCTCATTCAACCTTTCATCGAGATTTTTTTCTACCCAACGAGGATTACCACACAAATGACAAGATTTTTTATTTTTTCTGTCACCCTAATACAATATTGAATCATTAGGACAACTATGACTTTTCTCATATCCAAGACCCAAATCTTTGATCATCTTTTTTGAGTTCTTACAAGATTCAAGGATTTTTGCAAAAGGAAATATTTTTTTCATAAACTCCAATAATAAAGTCAAATAGTTTTTCGTCCATCAACATAAGCATTTCAAGTGAAAAAGATGCACATAAAAAGATAACCTTGAATGCTTAAATCCCTCATAAAGTTCTTCATTCATATCCTTAAGCAATCTATAAAACTTTGATGCTTCTTCACTAGGTTGTTGGTCACCTACACCTATCTCATATTCACCAAATTCATTTATTTCAACATATGACTCATTAAATCCATCATTTTGGGGAGACAGATGATGAAAATATTGGTTATGAATGTTAAAAGCATTTTGCAACATGCTTTCAATGTCATCTTATCTAATAAGATCATGTTGGTGTTGGGGAGCCGTTAATGTTGAAGAAACTCTAGGTAAAGACCTTGACAATACAAACTCTCCATAAAAATACCAATTAACATATCCCGAGATAATTTCAATACAAATTAAATGTTTCAAAATAACTTCACGCAATTGCCATTCGATATTAGCATAATTCAAACATAGGTATAATATCATATTATCTTCACTTGTATTCTCAAATGCAAAATTAAGAAAATTTTTCACTCCATCTTGGTACTCTTGACTTTTACATCCAACTTTTATCTATTTAGTATTTGCTACATCGTCATACCAAAATTATTAAATAAATTATATGAAAATGAACATGTCAAATACTTAATTATACTATGTATTCAACCAAAAATAATAACAAGATCAATACATATAAAAGACCAGAACAACAAAGTAGTTATACATATTATGACAATATCAGTTGAAGGATCTCTCTATAATATTTGAATGATTTCTCAATTTCTTCAACCACATAAATGAAGCACCATAAAAAGCTATCTCAGCAACTTTATTCAGCTTATCCCTGACAATTTATAACATATGGGAAAGGTTACCATCCCATTTATAAAAGTCCAACTCCTTATTGTCAAGTATTTTCTCAACTACTTGATATAATGGGTTTCAAATGGGTATTTAAGGAAGATGAGTTTTAGAAAAAAATTTTATACCTAAAATTATAAAGAAAATTGCAAAAGCTGAAGGAATAGTATAATAAAGTAAACGCTAGAGTAAATAACGATGAAATAGTAAAAATAAGGTTTTGAAAGACAAAGCTCGAATAGTAAAAGCTAAAAGAAAGGGAAAGTAAATTGTAGTCGGTATGGAAAGAGAAATAGTAGATTAATGCAGTTGAAGCTTGAAGTTAGGGATTCAATATGCTAACTGTAGGGATAATTTTAGTGGAGTTTGTAAGATAAATGCCTATAAATCTGACAAATAAAGGCATTTTCAACAAACAAACGCCACTAACTTTTAATGTTTTGAGTTGGAGGGAGTTTTAAAAAATTACATTTAAGATTATTTAAAATTACAAAATGATTTAAGAGGCGTATGAGTCCAATTTTTATGAGGAACAAAGCATTCAATTAATAATCATTTTTTAATTTTTTTTGAATTATTGAAGGCGTTTCAAGCAAAAAATAACTTCAATAATCTTCTTACATTTTAACAAGGAGATTATTGAAGGAAATTTTTTACAAAAAATACCTTCAATAACTTTTTATCAATGGATTGTTGAAAGCATTTTTAGTCAA